CCTTGCGCCTTTTTTCTTCCCATCCGTGTAATCGCCCGACTTCTTTCGCATCCTTCATTGCGTCGATGTGTCGACCGCGATCTTACGCGACATCCCGCAGATAAGGATTACGAACTGGCCGCGAGGAGCAACAGTGTAATGCGCACGATGTAGCGTCGATAGAGCAAAGGGGCTATAAATAAATTTAACGAGTATGCGACTGATCTTTCGTTCTTGAGAAAAAATAATTTGTTCAATAAAACTTTCGAGCTGCAATGTCGTCTCGATTGTGCAATGCGGATCTCTTAATAACTAGAATGACGCCATTTTGGCTCCGTTGTCCTTTAAAATCGCTATGAATCTTCTACAAATTTATATATATATATATATATTGGTCGATAGTTTTCCTAGACTTTGTCATTTTCAATGTGAATATAATCTCTCAAATAATGCGAAGAATAGCAAAATGACTTCTCGGCGACCGAAGATACAAATGGGAGCCAAATTGGCGCCTGTGGCGGTTTTAACGGGGATACCCAAGCTCGGTGGTTCTAATGTTAACGCGTGACTTTGGAATATATCTTGCCGAAATAATCGATCTTCCTGTTCCCCGACACGGAGTAAAGCGAAACAACTTACATTGTGCGCGAATGAACGTTCTGAGAGCCCGTTTCGGGATTATCGCAGCCACAAGAGAGATGGTTATTGACTCTACCGCTCGCGTATAGCCCGATAATAGCGCGCTGAGAAACTCGCGACGGCCGAACAATGGTGGACGTCGGGGTCGGCGATGCAATCTACAAATTTGATTGCGAATCATGCAAGCGAATCGGCAGCGCGTAAGAAAAGGGATGATCGCGCGGTGTGTGTCGAGGTGTGCTTAAATATTAAAAACAGTATCCCGAGAGAGCGTCGGCGGCGGCGGCGATGCATTCCCGGTGAGAACGATCGTCGATCGTCGATACAATCAATAAACCTGATTGTGAATCACTTAGCGGCGTTGTTCATCGTGCGGATATTCCCTCTCGGCCTGATCGTGTCGGAGAGACGATCTGAGAGATGTGGTGCGAAGGAGGAGAGAGAGAGAGAGAGAGAGAGAGAAAGAAAGAAAGAAAGCGAGAGGGAGAGAAAGAGAGAGAGAGAGAGAGAAAGAGGGGGTGGATGGGGGGAGAGAGAACGAGAGAGAGAATGATCAGGATATACATATTATACACATGTGGTGGTGCAGCGAGGGGGCAGAGGCGGGGTGGCGTGGGGTGGGCAGGACCCATTAGGCTAATCCCTCGTCGGCGGCCGGAGCCAAAGGAACGGAATAAGAAGGAATAAGAAAGCCACAGGCTACGTGTCATTCCCGCTCGCCTGCCGACACCTATACCCAACCGACACCTCCGCCATAGTACGAGTATATCCGTCCAGAGGTGCTCCCTATCACGATTGCCTTCGCTTCCTAATGCGCGCGCGAGTACGGACTTACTCGTCCGTAAGTTATTCAACCGCACGCGGCGCCGACCACGAAGAGGCGACTCCGTTATCCGCCGGCGGAAAGCGAGAGAGACTAAATCGGATTCGCACGGATGACGCGCGGACACCACCTCGCATCGTCCTCGCGGATGCCCGCCTCCGATCGGCCGCCGGATTTTCATTAGAGCACGCGACGACCGTGCCTTTAGCGGAACGCGAAATCGAAATGGAGCGTGTCGTCCGGTGTTCCAGAAATTTTCATTGAGGTCTAGAATCGACGGATATATCGGTAACTAATTAATAATCGTTAGGTGCGTCTAACAGAGAGAGAGAGAGAGATACACGCGCTCGCTTCGCACCTTAATACACCTCTAAATAAATCTAATGAGTTTTTAGTTAATGAGCTTTTACCAGGAGAATTATCTCTTCTCCGTGAACGGCACTAGCGATATTTTAATAGCAACTTACGTGATTTTTCTCTCTCTCTCTCTCTCTCTCTCTCTCTCTCGTTGGATTGTAATGGCAGGAAGTCGTAAAGCGCCGTACGTTTCGGCGTTTATTTATTTCCACGGCGCGGCGGTGTGCGGAGGAAAGAGAGAGAGAGAGAGAGACGCCTCTTTGTCTCGAAATTCGCAGCGCAAGTGGCGCGCCGCGGCGCGTACAAATTACATCGCCGATGCTTTAATTCGGCTGATCGGCATTAATCAATTTTACTGGCCGCGAAAGCAGTTAATGACGAATAAACGGCAGCGCGAATGAGACCGAATGCGTGCACCCGCTCGTTAAATAATTATTCATTTTTGCGCGAGCACCGGCGCGCGCAAGGACGACGGCGAGCCGCGCGAGGACGAGATTTCTATCGTCGCAATTTTCGGGAAAAATTACGAAGCGCGTGCGGCAATTACATATCGCGAATCCCGCATAATTAACCGTGCCGAACGCGATACGCATCTGTAATTGACGGTTTCGTCGTTAGCCCGGCGCGCACAACCGTTTCTTCCGAGGCGCCTTCTTATCGGCAAAATTTGCGCCTGTCCCGAGGCTTTAATCACTGTTTTTCAAAATTTATCGAATGCTTCTGGTAATTTATGACCGCCCGATTTCTTTTTGTTCTCTCTCTCTCTCTCTCTTTCTTTTTTTTTATCGCCTTCTCGTTTGCGTTTATTCGGGGGGAAGGGGGGGGGGGGCGCAAAACGTTTCGACGGGAAGTCGCGCTTCGATTGCCCGCGAAACGTCGTCGAAGTTGCATCGCATCTGACGCGGGCATCGTAAAAGCAATCGGCACGATTAGATTAATTAGAGGATAGACGGGAAGACACGGCGGGGCCGCAAATGAGCACCACTGTCGACGTGTGGCAGGCGGCCCGTTTGATCTCCGCGGGACCCTCGCGGGGCCCTTGGGCCTTGAGGCCCGCTCTTGCCTCTTGGCCCTCGACTTCTTTCCTCACATTCTCGACGGTCCACGATCGAAGGATCTTTTCTCGACCCCGGCAGCATCCTCGCCTCGGTCTGACTTTTTAAGACTTTGGGACACCTGTACCGCTAATTCCTCCGTGTCTACCTGTATCAATCACGAAAACAGATTCTCGCTTCGCGCTCGTAACGACGTGGCTCGACGTCGTCCATGGATAAAGCCCGGCTTGAGAATCATGTTATTTCGTCGGAAGAAGTCCGGAATCCAGATCGGATCAATGGACGCAGGTACTCGTAATCGGAATCGCGCGACCCGAGGAATGTGATTTACATCTCGTATTATAATTAGCCCCCCCCCCTTCCCCCCCTCCCTCCGTATGTCGTTGAAACAACATAATCCGATGGAATGTGGAACACATCGGTCGGCTATCGGTGATTCGATGAATGAACGAGTTTCTTTCCAATCGGTGAGAGTCAAAAGAACTTGTGGGCAAATATGAGCTAATTTTAACGCACAGAACTCGTAGTGCAATCTCTTTAAACAGCGAGACTATATTCTTAGTCAAATTGATTTTACTAAATCTCAATACATTGAAACCAAACGTTTCGGTCCTCGTCCCTCTTAAGTGGTACTCGGTCTTACAATATCAATGTCGCGGGACAAACTTCAAGAGACCGTTATTATTTCAGCGCTGCCATTCAGTCGCTCAAGTCACTTTTTGTCACTTTTTCTCGACAAGTCACTAANGTAGTCATTCCCCCCCCCCCCCTGATCTGCTGCAGTTTGTAAAATATAGATGTTCTATATCCATTTTTGTTATCTCTTTTAATAAAATTGCTCCGAAAGCGTATTTGTACCGTTTCTATCCTTGATCCTTGCTACGAATTTTCAAACCGTACTATGAAAAGAATTCTGTGTGTTAAGTTATCCAAAAATAAATCCAGGAAGGTGAGAGTGAATGTTACTTTCTTGCTTAAATGGCCTTAATTACTTTTAGAATTTGACAAAAAATATATCATTTTAGTCACCATTTCGATGCCTGAGAGGTTACTTTTTGTCACCTTTTCTCCCAAGAAGCGACCATTATTTCACTTTTTTATCCTAGTGACTGGATGGCTGTTATTCGAAAATCAGCGAAAGTAAACACTCAAGCATAACATTGTCGAGACGTTCCAAGATCAGCGCCAATTTAAACCGCAATCACACCGCTTTAATAAATTCCCTTCTCACTTACGAGGCTCCTCAATTTCACAGATTAACAATGAGATCACAATGAGATCAATTGAAGCGAACACGGAAAAAAAGCATCAGTTCTCACAGCTAAAAATTAGTCCATATAATATAACTGAGATTTAGTTGATTCAACTAATTTTCTGTTCCTGTACCTAGTTTTTAGCTCCGACGGCGAAAAACTAGGCCTGGTGACTAAATCCGAATTGCATCACACGGGCGGCCAATTTTTATTTTCCCAGTAAAGCAAACGTTCGATTAGAAAGTAGTGCGGAAAGCAGCTGGAGGAGTCCGCGCGAAGCTGCCTCGGGAGTCTCGGGAGGAGGAAGACGACGCAGGGACGAAGGAAGAGGGATAATATACGCGCCCCGTAAGATATTGACACTTCTGTAATCCGTTTGTCGGACGTGTGGGCAAGCTGGCTAATCCCGCTCACGCCCACCGGAGATTAAATCCCGCCGGCTGCTCCGGCTCATTCGGCCTAACTCGGTCTAACCGCGAACGGAGGCGCTTAAGGCCCCCGTATACACGGCCGCGTACGTCAAACTCGGTCTATAGGCCCGAGGGAGGTTAAAAGCTCTTGATGCCCTCTCCGGGACGATGGGGATCTCGCGACTTTTTTTTCCTCTCGCCTCCTGCGCGTTCCATATTTCTCGCGCGATATCCGCGCAGGGCGCGGCGTACTTTGCTATCGGGCCCGCTGCGCCCGTACGGACTTCTTTTTCACCGCTGACAGCCTAAAAGGGGTAATTAACCCTTGGACTGTCCGATGAATTTCGCACCGCTTTCGTTTGCGCGGCTTCGCTCGTTCGTTCGTTTCGCTATGGCGCGGACGCTCGGCGATAGAAAAACGTGGAGGAACCGAACTCGGCGTCGCGAGGAGAGATGAGTAAGGGGGAAAAAAATGGGAACTTACCACCGCCCAGGATGCCGTCGATGGTGTAATCCTTCTTTCCGTCATCCCCCGGCCGGCCACCCCGGAGAAGTCTACTGATGGAGCTGACGCTCGGCGGATCCGTGAAACCCTCCTGCGTGCGAACGGATCTCGTTAAAACGATCGACCACTTTGTCGTGTATTTTCAACGCGAGACTGTACGAAATTTCTTAGTGATCGTCGGAGATCGTTTCGTGTAAAGTCTCGTACGGTTTCTAGTCTCAGTCGGATGGAATTGATGCTTGGCGGATCCGTGAAGCCTTCCCGCATGCGGACGAATCTCTCGTTAAAATCGGTTAAGACCATTCTGTCGCGCTGTTTTGAACGTTAGACTATTCGAAATTGTTTAGAGATCATGGAAGATCGTTTTATATAAAGTTTCTAGTCTCGGTCGAATGGAACTCGAAAATTAACTCTCGGCGAATCCATGAAACCCTACTGCGTGCAAACAGGTCTCGTACATGGAGAGGAATCTTTTGCTGGCATAGCAAATTGTTAGTTACTATGGTGACAGCAAAGAGATTTATTTGGACAGCAAAAGGATTTGTGTGGACAACAAAAAGATTTGTTAAGAGTATTAATTGCTGTTTGCTGGACACTAGGACGGCAATATAATTTGTTTGCGCCAATTAAATTTTATTGCTGTCGCAACGATGTTCTACGACGGCAAAATCGTTTTGCCCGCGCAACAAATCTTTTTGCTATCACTATAGTAACTAACTGCACACTATAGTAATTTACGATTTTGCTGTGTCAGTAAAAGAACTTATCTCCGTGTTCGAAACGATCGGCTACTTTGCCGCGCTGTTTCAAATACCGTTCGAAATTTCTTGCACCGAGAGAAAAATGTTTAATATATGTAACTATAATCATCGTAACAAAAGAATTAGAGTCAGTCAATTTTCTAATAAATGTTACTGTAGGGTTAGTGATAATAACCTTATATGCATGTTGTTACTACTATTTTTTTCTGGTTAAAACTGTAAAAAGGTTACGATTGACACCGAAAATAATTATAATTTCTCTCAATGTAGAGATCGTTAGGTTTATATGAAGTCTCATACGTTTCTACACTGAGAGAAGTTACAGTTATTTTCGATCTTAACTATATATTTTTGGGGGTTTTAATCGTAAAAACAGTAGCAACAATGTATATGTAAGGTTATTATTACTAACGTTATAGTAACATTCATTAGAAAAATGGTTCTCAACATAGATCCGTGCGAAATTTCGCGAATAGGGAGGCAGCTAGATTTGCGTAAAGATTCGCGTCTCGATCGGATGCAAGTGACGCTCGACAGATTCGAAAAATCCATCCATCGTGAAAGCCTCTTGCCTGCGGAAGGACTTTGTCAAAACGAACGATCATATCGCGATTTTTTCGACGGAACCGGTTGGAAAAATGTCTCGAATAGAGATCGCCGGGGTTTACGTAAAGTCGCGTACGTTTACAGTCTCGATCGAGGGCTCACCTCTTCGTTCTTAGATACGGGCGAATGCGAATTGATCGATCGTAGAGTTACGTGCGCACCGTCGACCCGCGTCTGGCATTTGTAACTGCAGGCTACTGCACTACAATTTGGCGCGATTATTTTCCCGTCGGCATACACATTTGCGCCGTTGAGATTCAGTGTTATTATACATTGTGCCGGGCACCGTTACGCGCGCGCGCCTTCACCACGGTAGAATACCTTGGCGAAATCAGGTTGCCCGGCGTTTCGACGACGAAGCGCGTAGATAACCGTGGCAATCGATAGCAATCTTTCCGTGGTAAAGTGACGCGGATCATCAGGTCGTGGCGTTTTGTCGTGTCATCCTAGCGGATGAGATTTCGAGCCTTTGTCTCAGTTCAATCGGCTAATTGACGGAACGAAGTAAAATCCGCGTTAGTTGCCTCATCCTCCCGCGTTAAGGGCGATCGCCACTTTTCATCTTGATCTTTCGGATCGTTTTGTGTGGTTTTTATTTAAAGGAGAAATATACAAGCTCAGGAACAACATTTGATTGACTCAAACCAAATTCTCGTGTGGATATGAGCAAACGAATGTTCCGGTTGCGAGAACCAAATCTTTTTTATTTTCGTTTCAGAAAACCTTTGGTTCGAAGATCCGAACTTTGATTCTCATTACTAGAATATTTGTTCGTCCGTGTCCAAAGAAAGAATTTTATCTGATAGTCAACTAAATGGACTTTTTAGCTGTCTCGGGCTTAACATACTGACAGAGTAGACGCAGATGCTCTTTGCGGCCGAAAAATTGAGCATAGTTGTTGTCAGGATAAAAATCGTCAAGTCACAATAATTGCAAAGAGTACGCTCGTGTCTACGCACATTTTTCTCATCAAGTCATGGTGATTCAAGAAATCCGCATTTTCTGACCGTGAGTGAAAAGAAAACAGATACAAAATAAAAGCCGATTTACCGCATGATCGTCGAAATATCTGTTTCTTTTAAGACACAAGACAATTTCACGCGTCTCAAAAGAATACGAGACAGAAAGAGAAAGAGAGAAAGAGAGAGAGAGAGAGAGAGAGAGAGAAAGAGAGCCGGAGAGAGATGAATGGATGAATGGATGAATAGCCGCGCGATCATTAGCCAGTTTTTAATTACCACATCTCCACAGGTTACGGAGAGGATTAACGTTTCAGTAAACAACAATCGCGCGATCCGTTATCCCGGGAGACGCGGTTCCTCCTTAATTGCGGTAGTTTCGCGGTCTTGTGCTCCGCTGCGACCATTACGGGAGACGAAAAGAGTTACAGAATGTAGTATCCATTGAACTCTATGATCTCCGCGCTTTTTGTACCCTCCGTGTAAAAAGATTGTTATTACACACGAAGAAAATCTCGCGACCATCGCCACACCTTATTCGCATCGTCTCGCCGAGCCGCGAAAATCTCCGCACGCACGCACGCACAGATACCGATCGGCGTTATCGCCGGTGCGATCGAGTGCGTGCCGAACGGGCGATTCGCTAAAGAGAACGAGATAAATAAAGAAAGCGTGAGGTAAGATCGAGTGAGCATTATCCCGCGAGCCAAGGTGAAAGAACTGCCTTTTGCCTTTGCCGAAGATTTAAAAGGAGGAAGAGCAGGAAGAAGCGCGAAAAAGAACGAGGGAGAGAGAGAGAACGAAACGGTGAGGAAGGGCGGGAAGGGGAAAGAGATAGGAGATGGAGGTAAAAAAAGGAGAAAGAGGAAAAAAGAAAAGGGGGTCGTCGGTGTCGATCGCTATCTCCCGGATCGCCGATCTCAGAAACAATAACGATCCTTCTGTCGGTGGTGGCCGAGGCGTCGGGTCCGGGGCGATGACAGGAAGAGAAAGACGGGACGAGGCCCGACGAGGCAGCCGGGCCCCGGGAGCGACGAGGAGAGAGGCGCCCTGGGGGCCTCGGGTCCAGGAACGCCTCCTTCCAACATTAAATGCCGTATTAATGCCGGGCACGACCGGCCTGCCTCCACAACTGCAGCGGCGTACGTGTTCTCGAAACCATTTTTCGTCCTTCCTTCTCTCCGCTCTCCCTCGAATTCGCCCGTCGTCGTCGTCGTCTTGGTCGCCGAACGGTGCTCCTTTCGGTGCTCGTAGCCGATACTTTCCTCGTTTCTCCTTCGCTCGCTTTTCCTCGCTCTCTCTCTCTCTCTTTCTTGCTCTCCTTCGTCCGACTTCTTCCCCTTTCGCGCGTCCCTTCGCACTCCCGCCGTTCCCGTTCGCTCGTCGCACACCCTTCGCCTCCTTCCGCGACTTCGTTCACCGGCGACTCGCTTTCTTTCTCTCCTCCGCTGGTTATCTCGCGCGTTTTTCCCCCTTTTCCACGATCCGATCGATATATTTGCTCCTTATTGTCGCTCTCGCGGCCGATGCGCGCGTTGTTTCTCCCGGGCGCGATTTATCTCTCTATCGAAGAGATCGCCCTCGGCAAGGGAGGCGTTCCAGCATCCAAGGAGGGCGAACCCCTTCCTCCGTCGGGATTTCGCACGGTTTCGGTTTGAGAACCGCCGTCGATCTTATCGCGGAGACACGTAGAGATACTCGAGGGGCCTCGAGTGATCCGATACTTGACTTTTGTTGCTTCGGGAGAGACGAGCGCTACCGCGTCGGCGATCAACGTGATCGCAAATAAAAACAGGGCCGCGCTCGAACGTGGATTAGGATTTACGCCGATCGAGACAGAGGGGGGAGGGGGTGCATTAAAAATGGTACCCGATTTAAATGACCGCGCGATCCACCGGCGATTTTTCGCCCTCGACTTCTGCTCTCCTCCGGCCGGATATTCGTCTCGCGTAATTGAAAGAACTTCGGACACGCGGGGAAGAAGTAATTGTTGATTCACCGAGATAATCATTTAGTTAGCGAGCAAGATTTGGTTCGGATGTGGACAAATAAATATTATAATTGCGAGGACCAAAATTCGGTTCTCTGAAACGAAATCTTTTCCATTTTCGTTTCAGGGTAAGCAAATCTTTGGTTCAGAGAATTCTGGCTGAACCGTTCACACGACTCAAACTTTTCTTCGAGTCCAAACTAAATGAGTTTTCCACTCGGGTTGTGACTCTTGTTTCGACATTTTTCTCCTCATACTCGTAATATTCGCCAACGCCTACGCAACATCGCGTGCGCGCGATAATAATTCGTAATTAAATGTATCCTCAAACTTGGCTCAGCCCGAGACATAGCGCGGGTAATTAACCCTCGCCGCTTATGGTAATATCTTCTTCTCCGTACGCTACGACGGCATTTTTATCGGCAGGAGGCATCGGACGATACGTCGGGGTTCGAGGAGCACGCGGAAGAGATTATTCACGGAAAAGTCCATTTGCATACTCGAAAATCGAGACGCGGAGGTGTTACGCCAATGAGGCGTGGGTGTAGACGGCGGTCAGTAACGTATTAAAGGACACGCGAGTTGCCTCGGGGCGCTCACGTACCCCGCTCGCCTCGTGCACGCCTCGTGCACAAGATTAAAAAGCCCCATTGAGTATGATCCCCGGGAGAGATAGAGACACGAGTAACCGCGTGGAAACGTCCAGGTTCGATCGAGGGGTCGAGCGATGGCTCGCGGATTTTTCGCGGCTGGAAAAGTGCCCCGCGTGATTGGAATAACGAGCGACGACTCGCGACTCGAAAATGCAACTCGACGCCCCGAGTGCCAAAAATACGTCTTACACGCGGTAAAAAAACTTTATGTTAGAAACGGTTGAAATTTGGCGTTACTCTAATATGGGAGACGTGTTAAAAAGCGCGGGAATATGCGTTAAAAGGTGCACACACGGTGAGAAATTTGTTGCTGACGCAGCAAATTGTTAATGATCATCAGTGAAGTCGCGGCAAAAAGATTTGTTATGCGGAACAAATAATTTTGTTGTTGCGGCGAAACGTCGTTGCGACAGCGAGAAAATTTAGTTGGCGTAATCAAATTGTTTCGCCATCTATATGCTCAGCAAATAGCAATTAATACTTTTAATAAATCTTTGCATTGTCCAAGCAAATCTCTTTGCTGTCACCATAGTAATTAACAGTTTGCTGTGCCAGCAAAGCATTTATTTTCGTACAAATATAATATTCAATTAACACATCCAATATATGTTGACAAGATGAGGTGTGTTCATTTAACATTATTTTTGCATACTTTTAACACATTCCCCATGTTCAGTGGACTGTTTCTCGATACAAAATTGTTCGCTGTTTATTTTCGCACAGCTCGCGCTTTTCGTCACCTTTCCAATTTTCCTCACTTTTCATGTTCATTCATTATTTTTCGGTACTTTTAATCGTGCATGCTTTTCTAAATTTCTTAAAACGATCTCTCCTTTTTTAACGTGTGCACGTCCTTACGATTTTTATGAATATTAATGCTTCCCACTTGGATCTGGATTTTTCTATCGGTTCAGGTATTTTGCTTTGTTCCTCATCGCGATCTTATCCGAATAATGAACGTTACGACGGACGATCTGGTACACTCACCTTCATAAGCTTGTCCCTAATCTCCCAAGAAAATATTCCCGGATTGTCTCGTTTTAATTCCTCGATTCTCGCCTCGACTTCCGGTGTGGCCACTCGAGGCTTGCTACCGCCTATCACGCCCGGGCGGATGGACCCAGTCTCCTGATATCGGTTCAGGATTTTCGAAACACAGCCGTGAGAAACGCGGAGCTGCCTGGAGATCACGCAAGGTCGGACTCCCGCGGCGGCCATTTCTACGATTTTCAGGCGAATATGATTAGGGAGAGGTCGTCCGTTGATAAAGACCCCACCTAGCTGATTCATTCGCCCTTGTCCTGTAAGAAATGACCCAAGTGTCGATAAAATACGACGATTGTTCGGCGCGATTGTGAAATTGTGGAAGCGATTCGATCTCTCAGTCCGATCTCAAGTCCCGGTATATCGCAATTCGTCATTTTCACAGTTCCGCTGTGGAATGGCATAATTAAGCGAACAAAAATTCCATCAACAATCTCGTTACATTGTCCATGTCAAACGGCCGTAAAAAAATCTCATCCTTTTCGTAAAAGTTCCCGAGTTGAAATACTGGGCTCTGTATTAAGCCTTTAATTCTACAACACAGTAGGAGCTAAGATAGCAAAGCGAGCTCAATTTCAATTCTTATAATATAGCATAACCCCTAGATCGACTGTGATAATGTCCTAAATTTACGTTTTCGCTGTTTCGAACGTGAAAGTAAGTTGTTGAAAGTAGCATTAAAATCTAATTTATAGAATTAAAGGTTCAAGAGAGAAATTAAAAAAACGTCAGTATCGTGAAAATAGATTTTTATTAGTTTACAGGCCGTCTAAATAAGCGCAAACTATCCTTAAGAGCGTCGGAGAAGCAACAAAATATCGACTCGAGTTGATAAGGAAATATCGCGGAAATAAACGCACTTCGCCTTTCCGTTGAAAAGACACAAGGGGGGGGGGGGGAGGGGAAGAGGGTAGGGGGGCTGAGAGTAGGGTGAAGGAGAAGTGATTTTGAGAGAGGATCCGTAGGCGCGGTCGCGTCGTGATTAGGCTTGAAATTAACGCTGGAATCGTAGCTGGGGTACGCAAACATGAAATCAGATAAGAGGACGGCGCGCGCGCGCGCTCTCTCACGAGGAGGATACCAAAAACACGGTTAACAGCCGTAAAATTGCGCGAGTTATGCGTGCGCGAGGAGGCGTGCACGAGGCCGTTTCCAGCACTAACGAGTATAAAGTCGGATCGTTAGTCGAATTAGCCACCCTTCCGTACGTGACATTAGCTCCCGTATCATCAGACCCCGGGTAAGTGCATGCGCGGTGCCGCACGCGTAATTACTATGTTTACGCATTACGGATGCTCCGAGTACATACAACGGGAGACGGATAATTATAATAATCGCCTGCCGTCGTGCGCGCGGATGCGCGCGCGCGCGCGCATGGAACAACGGAAATCTTATTGTCGGAAAGTAATCGTCGTAATTTTCGATCGGCCGGGATCCTCTCTCGGCTCGGGCTAGTTTTTGGCCACGCGCTCGCATTAACGACGATAATCGTCGCTTTCGTCACGCCGATGCGAGCCGGCCTGTTGGGATGCGTTATTTCGTTTGGGTCGCGTACCTGCCGCGCGTATTCTCCCTCGCGTGCGCCGCGAAATTACCATGTTTATTGTAACTACGATTTTTACGCCGGCCACTCACCAACGAGGAGACGTACTTATTTCACGAACGACTGGGAATAAGGCGACCAAAATTGCTCGACGAGAATTTTGGGATTACGAGACACCGCGGGTCGGGTCGGCTCAAGACATGCCGTTTTGGTCGTGTGAGATTTAGTGCGAGGGATACAATGAAATGGAAATTGCGATATGTCGCTTCTAGAACGTAGAACGTGCCCGTTTTTGCAACACGTTAAGTGGAATCGACTATTGATTTGGCGATTGAGCATAGGGTTTTTCAGGGGAATCGAATTTACTGGAACTTAAGGATCGGTTTAGGCGTGGAAGATGGATTCACCGTGTACGGATTGGCTGAGAATATTCAACATGTGCCTTACACGCTGCGAGCAATTTTATCTTCCCACAAATAATGTGGATACTGACAATATTAATATTCTAGTGGCACTATTACATCCGTGCTTTGCTTCTAAAGGGAGCGTTAAATTTCTCTACTTGGTTAGACTATGAAGGAACAATCTTTCTCAACGTTTAAAATTACCCATGTTTCAAAAAGAAAAAAAAAAACACTGCGATTCTGTCTCCACTGTTTCTCTCACGATAAATACACATGCGCGATTGTTATTATTATTATAAATGAAATGACGACCAACATAACTCTGGAGTTAAATTAACCCGGTCTCTCCTGATATCTCTTACGCTGAATAGACCGGTTGACGCTGATATCCTTTCATCCTGTCGAATTATAGGCGATTAGCGGAAATTTCCAATTGTACGGCGAAAGCGATAGTCATCAGACACGACGTGATATCGACACGTGACATCAGCCTCTGTTATTCTTTTTCCTTATCGAATTGTGATTGTTAATTGGCCGATAGAATATATATATATATATATATA